TTGTGAATGTACCAAATCGTACATCTGTTCACTTTATCAGGGTTAGTTTTATATTATGTGACCTTCACATCAGATATTTTAAAAAGTCTATTCAGAAATGCCAGGAATCCCGGGAGTGGGGTTGACAATTTCACCCCAGTCTGGAAGTGTACTGTGCGGCTTGTAGCCTTGGGGTGGCGACAGCATTTCTCCTCCTTCCCCAGGTCCTCATTTCAGTTCCTCAAGCACAAAACAGGGCGTCCACTCCTCCCCTCAAAAGGAAATTTTTAAATTGTCAACTCTCTGTTGTCCAGAGACTTTTTGCTTGGCCTTTACCATCTTCAGCTGAGCAGCTGTTTCTGTGGACTGGCTCTCGGGCCTGCTCCCGGGACCTGCCTGACCTCTGCAGGCATTCACCCAGTGGGGGGGCTGAGAGGCAAGCTCAGTGCACCATGGCCTGTTGAACGATGGCCTCTGAGCAGGACTAGCCTAGCAACTTCCCTTTCCATCCAGAAGTCAAACAGCTGGCCACTTGCCCATGGGAAGGGAGGTAGGTGATAGTGTCAATCCAGTGAAATGCCAGCCTTCGCTGGGACAGAGAAAAGGAAAGGGATAGAAAAAGAAAAGAAAACAAACACCCACAAAGAAAGTCACTCACTATCACTCCTCAAAATTCTATTCTGCACCAGAAATCTAGACAGTAGGTATATTTCAATCTGTAATTAAACTTGTGCTGTCTATAGCCTTGAGGTATGACAGCACCATCTCATGGGTGAACTAGCTTTGGATCAATCTGTTGTTAATTTTTCCATTTTTGGTTCTTGCCTACAACTTTATTTGCGAAAGACTAGGACTTTCTTTAAAAACAAAACAAAACTGAAAACCACTGTTGTCCATGAAAGATGTAGAGATCCTAGAGACTGGAAACTGATCAGTAAGTTCTTCAGATCAACCTATTTGCCAAGGGTACACCAAAAGGGTAATTTGTAATTAAAGTACCATGTCACTAGGACAAATTACAGCAGTCAGTTCAATAAAGCAACAAGGATCCATTTGACCCACAGAAGAAAGCAAGTCTCTTCTGCCTGATATCCAAGGCCCTCTGAAGCTGCCTGTGCATCTACCTTCCTTTGCACGACTCTCCAGAATGACCACTGATGTGTCTTAAGTCAGGTTCCCCAGAATCAGACACTGAGACAAGGATCCATGTGCAAGTGACTTGTTAGAGAAGTGCCCCTGGGAGAAACCCAGTTTCAGCCTGGATGTGAGTTCTAACTCAAAATGTGTCCCGTCTCCAGGCAAAGTGGCTGGACTTTCAAAACCTCCCACCAGTCATTCATTGACTCAGAGCTGCCCTGGCAGGATATGCATTCCCTGGCCCATCCAGCCTTCTGCAGTGGGAGGCAAAGCAGCTCCAGGAGCCCACAAGGGGTCCTCCACAGAGAATCCAGGGCAGTGGTTCTCAACCTTCCTAATGCCGCGACCCTTTAATACAGTTCCTCATGTTGTGGTGACCCCCAATTTCATTGTTACAAATTGAACATAATTAAAGCATAGTGATTAATCACAAAACAATATGTAATTATATATGTGTTTTCCGATGGTCTTAGGCGACCCCAAAGGGGTCACAACCCACAGGTTGAGAACCACTGACCTAGGGTTCAGGTCCTTAAGCATAAGGACACAGAAGCCAGGCTAGGGGCACAATGAAATGGTAAAAGACATCTGAAGGCATCTGAGTGGAACACACAGCCTCACACTAACCTCAGTCCCAAATCTTCACCAATCCCATGTGCCCTCTCTGAGTACACTGAGCATGCTCTATTCCTTACTGCTCTGTACCTATGGTGGAGGCCAATATGTCTAATGGGTTTCATGTATCACATTTTAAAAAAATTTTTAAATTTACTTTAGCCATAATTCTTGTAACTTTTCTACTCTTTGCTCTATAATAAAAGGAGTCAGTGTTGACCATGGATCCTTTGTTGTGGCCTCTCTCTTCCTTATTTTCATTTTGATTCACACTTCATTGGCCAATTAGGAGGTAACACTTTATCGGGGTAGCTCATCCTTCATGCGTTCCTCAAATTCTTTCATCTTTGAGATTGTTTTCATATTCATGATGCCTTTGTGATGAAATGAAATCCTATCTGAGAAAAGTATTTGGGGATCAGACTCTCCTCTTAACATAGTAACATATTGCTGTGGAGTATTCTGACGCCAGCCTGCTGGTTTCTCCCTTAAAAAGTGTTTGCTTTTCTACCAAATACCGATGTAGTTTGCTTCCACTTTGAATTTCAATAATTTAACCAGAATATATCTCAGTGTTGAACAATGAATCAAACTTTTCCAGAATTTTGCTGTTTTTCAGATTTAATTTTTGCTTTAGTTCAGGAAAACATTTTGTTATTTTTATATACAGTTTCTAATTGTTCATTTTGAGTTTTCTTCTTCAGAAGCACCAATTTGCTTTTCTCTTGGCTTTTTTGAATTGTTTAATGGCTTTATCTTCCCATTGATTGTTACTATGAGAACCAAGTTTTTCTTCTACATATGTCTTTGATATCACTGTATTACAATAGTAGTAGTAAACAAGACTTATGATTGTAGATAGTTATATTGACTATTTGTAGTTACACATTTAAAATACATTAATTGTAATTAGGCTAATCAACGAAATCCAAGTAAAAAGTAATACTATGTGTTTTTGTTTTCTTTTCCTTGCCATAGGGCATTATGGACATCGAAGCATATTTTGAAAGAATTGGTTATAAGAACTCTAGGAACAAATTGGACCTGGAAACATTAACTGACATTTTTCAGCACCAGATCCAGGCCATTCCCTTTGAGAACCTTAACATCCATGGTGGGGAACGGATGGAATTGGGCTTGGAGGCCATTTTTGACCAAGTTGTGAGGAAGAACCGGGGTGGGTGGTGTTGACAGATCAATCAAATTCTGTACTGGGCTCTGACCACAATGGGCTTTGAGACCACAATGCTGGGAGGGTATGTTTACAGCACTCCCGCTGACAAATACAGCAGTGCCATGATTCACCTCCTGCTGAAGGTGACGGTGGGTGGCAGGAACTACATAGTTGATGCTGGGTTTGGACGCTCTTACCAGATATGGCAGCCTCTGGAGTTAATTTCTGGGAAGGATCAGCCTCAGGTGCCGTGCATCTTCCGCTTGACAGAAGAGGGAGGAACGTGGTACCTGGACCAAATCAGAAGAGAACAGTACGTTCCAAACCAAGAATTCCTTAATTCTGAACTCCTGGAAAAGAACAAGTACAGAAAGATCTACTCCTTTACGCTCGAACCTCGAACAATTGAGGATTTTGAGTCCGTTAATGAATACCTTCAGACGTCTGCAGCATCTGTGTTTACAAGCAAGTCATTCTGTTCCTTGCAAACCCCAAATGGGGTTCACTGTTTAGTGGGCTTCACCCTCACCTTTAGAAAATTCAATTATAAGGACAATATGGATCTGGTGGAGTTTAAGACACTGAATGAAGAAGAAATAGAAGAAGAGCTGAAAAATATATTTAATATTTCCTTGGAGAGAAAACTTGTGCCCAAACACGGTGATAAATTTTTTACCATTTAGAGTAAGGAGTAGAAATGGTCTTCAGTATTATTGCAGGTACTGAAACTTCTTACCATAAAAATTTCAAATAAATATAAAAGTAGAGAGAATAAAATAACAAACCCCTATTTATCACCAATTTTACCAGCTATCAACTGGCAGCCTCTCTCTCAAATTTCCTTAGTGACCCCACATGATATTAAAGAAAATCTTAGACATCCAATCATTTTCAACCTTAAAAATGTTAGCACATGTAGTTAGAAAACATTTAAAAGAAACAGAACCACATGTCTTTTCAAAATTAACAATAATAAAGGTATTTAAAAGGTTTTCGTGGGAGAGAATAGTGATTTCTGCTAGAAAAGCGTCCATGCTGGTTGAATGTTGAATTCATAAAAAATGTTTACCCATGGTTCACTAAATGGAAAATTGAGGAAATAGTTTTTATTAAACTCAACATGGATATGTGCCAATCTTTAAAATTCCACATATGTAATTTAGGATTAGAATTCAACAGAGAAGAATGAGGCATGATATTGCTTCCTAATAGTTCTCAAGACAAGGCTTAAACCAACACATAGTAATGTGTGATTAAGCACTCAGAGAGAGACACAGCTAATAATTTCTTACATGGTGCTTTTGCAACCACAGTTCTTTATGTAGCATTTCCTTAATATAGATACACTGATATTTAGAAATTTTCAAATCCCTGAATTAAGTCATTTTGTCTAAAAGTAAAAATGATAGTGAATTTTAAAATGCTTATCTGTAAAAACTTGATGTCTACAAGTACGTTAAACATTGTTGGCTAATACGATGTCAGTCATGAAGTGTGTGTTTGGCAGAGTTAGGAGATGATGGGCTAGGACTTCCTTGCATCCACTTTCTTATCTCCCAGTTATTTTCTTTTACTTCCTCCCATACTTTGTCGTAAGAGTGTATAGACCTGAGTGCAGATCCTGTGGACGCTGGGTGAATTACTTCATGAATCTGTGACTCTGATCCCTCGGAGGTAAAATGGGGATAATCCTATATAAAAGGCGAATATGCAAATAGACCAAATGGTGGAACAACCAGTTGCTATGACGTGCACTGACCACCAAGGGGCAGATGCTCAACACAGGAGCTGCCCTCTGGTGGTCAGTGCACTCCCACAGGGGGAGTGCTGCTCAGCCAGAAGCCTGGCTAACCGCTGGTGAGCATAGCAGTGGTGGTGGGAGCCTCTCCCGCCTCCGCAGCAGTGCTAAGGATGTCCAACTGCCCTTTAGGCCCGCTTTCCTGCAGGGAGTGGGCCTAAGCCATCAGTTGGACATCCCCCAAGGGCTCCTGGATTGCTAAAGGGCGCAGGCCAGGCTGAGGGGGATCCCCCCAAGGGCACGAATGTCATGCACCGGGCCTCTAGTACTTACATAATTAAGTGCTAGACAAGAGTCAGCGCTCAATAAATATTTGTTATGTGGATGAATGAAGAATGTCAGTAATGTTTTTGATACTGAGTCAGCATTTGATGAAAGTTCTTCCATCTTGCTTTATTTCCTTAGCTTGAATCTGGTCCTGAATCTGCCTGCTTCTTCTTTGATTAAATATGAAGATGATATCAGATGGCCCCAATCTGACTGTGGCTTTGTGCTTCAGAATTGGAATCTTTCTTATCTATAACTCACATTTTCTGTTTGTGAATTCCAGAATCAGGGCTATAATTTCAACTGCAGACTTGTTCTAACAGTACTCCCCCTTTTTAACTTGTGATTATCATAATGATAATGAAAAAAAATAAAATGGAATAAGCCTTGCTAAGAGAGGCACTTAAAATAGAGTCAGGAGGCTATGAAGGAAGTGGGGCCCCTAGAGTCTGGTAGGAGGGACAGGGGGGTGGTGAGCGGTAAGGCAAATTAGAGGCAGTCTTGTAATTAATGCTAAAGAATGTGGACTTTATTCTAAATGTGAGATCCCAGGAAGGAGTGGTATGACCGGACTTGGATTTAAGACCATTCTGACTAGTGTGAAGGGAAAGGAGGTGCCCAGTAGGAGGCCACTGTGATGATCCAGGATAAGAGATCCTGGTGACCTGAAGGAGGGTCTGTCAGGCGCTGGGAATGAGCGACATGGACAGATTTGAGATAAACTTAGGTGGTAAACCTGACAGAATGTAGGATGGGTTGATGCCTTCCTAAGGGAGAAAGAGAATGAAGGTAGCCAGGATGGCTTGGCACCATTCATCAGGAAGGAATAGAGGAGGACAAACAGGCCAATGACATCTGCTTGGAGCCTGTTGGATGTTGAGAGTACAGGAAGGACATTCCAGGAAGAAGGTGAGTATGTGACTGCTGGGGTTTAGAATGTCTTGGCTGGAAATAAAAACATGAGGCTGTAAACAGATGGTAACTTGAACAATGAAAGAGCAGGAAGTCAAGTGTGAAATTACTGTAGAAAAAAAAAAAGGCCAAAGGCAATGATAAAAAAGATTAAGGGATGGTCCAATAAAGAAGAGCTTACAAAAGAGACTGAACAAGCAGGAAGAGAGATGGGAAGAAAGGGTATAAGTGAAGGAGGGAATGAACAACAGATTCAAATCACCCTGGAAAACTGAATTTAGGATTGAGGATTGGTAATTAATTTAACAACAAGACGGCCATTGGTGACTTCAGCAAGAGCAGTGTCAGTCATGTAGAGTGGGTGGGACTCATATTACATTCATCTGTAGGAGGGAGTAGGGGTGAAGGAGTAGAAATAACAAGTTAAAATTTTTCGTTCAAGAAGCAAGAGGCCTTGCGAGGCTGCGCTCCTGCGCGCTCCTGCTCCAGATCCAGCTCCCTAGACCGCGGAGGTGCCATGAGCGGCGGAACTGCCTTGTGTGAGTGCCCGTTCACGGTGTGCAGGAGCCTGCACCCCGACCACCTGTGGATCTGGCGGCCCAACGTGTTTGTGGACGAGAATGATCGCACCTGGCTGCCCATCATCAACGAGACAGAAAGCAGCCTCCAAGTCCTCATGCGCCAGATCAAGGTCTCCAGCGGGGAGGCCATGCAGCCCAGCCAGCTGCCCCCCAGCATGCTGCCCCTCATGTGGCAGCTCTACCCTGGCAGGCGGTACCGCGCCTCCGACTCCAGCTTCTGGCGCATCGTGTACCACATCGAGATCAGTGGCGTCGAGGACATGGTCCTTGAGCAGCTGCCAGACCCATAGCACAAGCCGCGCGTGGTCCTGCGGTTCCTGTTCCTGTGCCCTGAGCCGCAGTCCCGGTGGCCTGCAGTGGGGATGTCCATGCTTCTGTGTTCCTTTTTACCAGCCCTGTTGTTCTGTCTGCCACCCCCGCCGGAGGGCGCAGACAGCAGGGGATGAGCCCGCCCAGGGCCCGCGGGAACCTGCCTGCATCCCCCTCGGCCTCCCCGGCAGATTGGCCGGAGAGAGCGCGGCTCCAAGTGCCCAGGCCCTGTCCCTGGTTCTCTGAGCTGCCTGCTGGTTTGTGGCCGCGCTCTCTCTCTGTGTCCCTCCCTCCCCAGTCACTCATGTTCTGTGCTACCCACGGGGATACTTCTCGTTCTCCTCCCTCAGCTCTGTGCGCCTCTGGCTGCAAGGCAGCGGGGCCTACACGCCTGAGCCCAGGCCAGGCCCCGAGGCCCTGAGTTAACTCTCTCGTGGCGTGTGCCTGCTCACGACCATGCCTGCAAAGTCCCACCTGCCACGCAGGTTTACGCACAGCTCACGGGAAGGCCTAGAGGAGCCGGGCTCCGTGCTCAGCACTCAGAAGCTTTCGGGTCAAGCGTCCACAGCCCCTGACCTCGCAGGAGGTCAGGCCAGCAAGCCCCCCTGTAGGACAGAGGTCGGAAGTCCCCCCTTTTATAGGCACCCACACCCCTGGATGTTATGAGGTTGTATGTAGCATGAACACTTTGTAATATTGATCGATTAAATGTAAGACAACTCATTTAAAAAGAATTTTTTTTCGTTCAAGAAATTTCCTGTGAAACATGTAAAGAAATAGCTAAAAGCAGACTTGAATTTGATGGGAAGGTTTTTTTTTAAGGTCAGTGTTGAACATGTTTGCAAGTTAACAGGTAGGAGACAGTAAAAAGGAACCAGTTGGATTTATAAGAGAAAAATGAGATAATCAATTGATAAAATCCCTGAGTGACATGGCCAGATGGGATTCAGAGCAGGATTAACCTGGAGCAGATGGGATATGTCCTCCATGATAAGCAAAGGAAAAGAGAGTGTGTAGGAAGGAAGGAAATAAGTCTGTGGTTTGGGAGACAGGAGAGTGAGCACGTCTGATAGCTTTTATAGTCTCTGTGACAATGGAGGTGAGCCCCCTGCTCAGAGTGATGGGATAGGGTTTTGAGGCATGCGGACAAGTTCTGAAATAGTCCCTGCGAAAGATGAGCAAGAGCTGATTAGAGAAACACAGACAGGGCGACACTGAGGGCCACACTGACGTTAGGACCACAATTATAAAGCGACACAGCTTTAAATTGTTGCATTTTCTGCAGTGGCTCTCGCCAGTTTAGGGGCACATGTGTAGAAAACATACAAAACATGGCTAGTGCCTTTTCCAGATTTCCTACACTTTGGTCAGTGTGATCATTTGTCTCTTTCCTAAAAACTCAATCATCATTTCTGTGAGATTTTAAAATTTAATTAGGATGAACTCTCCATAGTTATTCTTTATGAATCCATAATGCTATCCTTTAAGAATTTCCATTTTCTTTCTCTAATTTTCCCTAACATTTATGAAAACTAGAATACCCTATGTATTAGCTTCCTTTGGCTGTTGTAACAAATTACCACAAACTTGGTGCTTAAAACAACACACATTTGTATTCTTACAGTTATGGAGGTCAGAAGTCTGCAATCAGTTTCATGGGGGCACACCCAGCCTCCAGGGAAGAATCAGGTACCTTGCCTTTCCCAGCTTCTTAGAGCCGTGTTCCTTGTATCCCTTGGCTCCTGGTCTCTTCAAAGCCATCTTGCTTGAGTGGTCACATTGCCGCCTTCTTCTGTCTCATAAAATCTCCCTCTGCCTCCATTTTAAAAGGACACTTGGAATTGTGTTTAGGGACCACCCAGATATTCCAGTATAATCACCTCACCTCAAGATCCTTAACTTGGTCACATCTGCAGTCTCCTTTACTGTGTAGCATACACGGGTTCCAGGGTTTAGGAGCTGGATATCTTTGGGAGCGAATATTCAGCCGACCACTTCCTGTGTTTCTCCACAGGACTCAAGGATGTCTGGAAATACTATAGGCAACAGGAAACAGCCACTGATCACAATGCACCCCTTCCTGAGGTCTATGTGTGGGGAGCAGGAGACAATTAAGTCAGGCTAGAAGGTGGACTCGATGAAGGGACAGTCGGTATGAAGCTTGAATCCCACAAGGGAGCTATGGAAACTATGATGCATCGTTTTGCAGGTGGGAGAGTGAGCTTGGGAGATGGGAGACCAAGACACAAGAAGAAAATAGTTGCCTACATACAGGAGAGGAAACTACACCTGAAGTTTCTCCTCTTAGGTGCCTCTAACACAGTGGTCAGCAAACTGCGGCTCGTGAGCCACATGCAGCTCTTTGGCCCCGTGAGTGTGGCTCTTCCACAAAATACCACGTGCGGGCGCGCACATACAGTGCGATTGAAACTTTGTGGCCCATGCGCAGAAGTCAGTATTTTGTGGAAGAGCCACACTCAAGGGGCCAAAGAGCTGCATGTGGCTCGCGAGCCGCAGTTTGCCGACCACTGCTCTAACACAACCGTCTGTGCCGCACTTGCCAAGCTTTTGCTCATTATTAGCTCAAACATGCTTAAGAGATTCATTACCTTAAACAAAAAGATTTTTATACTTGTACATTTCATTCCCTTTGACTTTCCCTTATGAAACTAGCAACTTTCTGGAACAAAGAAGGTCCTTGACCAGTATCAGTGCACGATGCCTCTAAACTAATTTCGGATTTCTCTCCTGTTGGAGAGCCCGGCTCAGTTCTATGTAAGTATTCACCCAGGGATAACAGTGCAGAGCCGACCCAAAGCATGACAAAAAATATCCCTCTGGGCCTAAGAAGGGCTAGAAATTCAGGATCCCTGACATTGTTCTGACAAAAGTATCTGCTTTCTGTGAAATGATTTACATAGCAGAGAGAACTGGACAATTACCAGAACTGGCATTTCTTCCTATGGTTCACATTCTTAGACTCAGGAAATCCCAACATCTTGAATTTATATCCAAAAATTTAGGTGGAATAATCAAGGAACATTATAAAGAAGACAGGAATTTTCACATCTCAATTACTAGCTTTCCAAAAATTCTGAATGACATGTGCTTATCTACTTATATAAAAACCCTGGGTGGTGTTCATCACGACCAGAACTGCCGCAATGAAGCGGAAGGAAGTCAGTCCTGCAGGGGTTGTCTTGGCAATGGCTGCACCCTCCCCCGACCTGTTTCTCAGAGCTGTTTCCTGTAAGGGTGGGGTTTGAGGCAGGAACCCGCCCTGGGAGGTGGAGGCATTATCTTTCTAAAGTGTGCTGCGCCAGCACAGCCATGGGTGAACCTGAGTGGGGGCGGCTGAAAGGCTTAGAAAAGACAGACAAGAGAATGAAAGCCAGGTCTCAGTGGGACGCTGCTTCTCTGAGAGACAGCGCCCACGCCCACAGCCATGCCTTTATTTTATAGCAGATGCTACAAGGCAAAGTAAGGGCGTGACCAAGTTGTTTACAACATTCTCCTGGGTTTCAATCCTACTCAACTACATGCACCTGAACTCTATCAAGCCTACATCACTCAGGCACGTGGGGCCACGTGTTCAGACCATAGGTTCAAGCTTACAACTATAGCTGTTGGCTATAATTGTGCTGGGAGGGCCCTGCTCTCCAAGCTGGGACTTGCATGTGGCAATGAGAGGACTGTGCCCTCTCATCAGTCCAAGGCTTGAACCTGTCCAAAACACTGTAGCAGCTCCCCACAATAAAGTTTTAATTCTGTTTCTTTGTTACTAATGTTGTGGTCCCACCCCATAACAAAGAAACAATTTCCGGGGGATGAGGCCCAGGAATCAGGATTTTAAAAAGATTCCCAGGTGATTCTAATGTGCAGCCAAGGTTGAGAACCACTGCTATAGGTAATATTAAAAATATATCTAAACGTGCAATTCTTTGTCCAAAAAATGAGCATGTTCAAAAATTAAATGAAGACATTTTGGATATACTCGGAGATTTTCACACATATTTGAGTGATGATTCCATTGATCCCACAGATGATGCTGAAAAGGAAAATTTTCCCATCGAATTTCTTAATAGTATTACTCCTTTGGGAATGCTGTGTCATAAATTAAAATTGAAAGTGGGTGCAATCATCATGCTATTGAGAAATCTCAATAGTAAATGGGGTCTTTGTAATGGTACCAGATTTATTATCAAAAGATTACGACCTAACATTATCGAAGCTGAAGTATTAACAGGATCTGCAGAGGGAGAGGTTGTTCTGATTACAAGAATTAATTTGTCTCCATCTGACACTGGCCTCCCATTTAAATTGATTCAACGACGGTTTCCCGCGACGCCAGCATTTGTGATGACTATTGATAAATCACAAAGACAAACTCTAGACAAAATAGGCATATTCCTATCTGAACCCGTTTTTGCACATGGTCAGTTATATGTTGCTTTCTCTCGAGTTTGAAGAGCATGTGATATTACAGTTAAAGTTCTAAATATTTCATCACAAGGGAAATTAGTCCAGCACTCTGAAAGTGTTTTCACTCTTAATGTGGTATACAGGGAGATATTAGAATAAGTTTAATCACTTTATCAGTCATTGTTTGCATCACTCTTGTTTTTATATCATGTCTTTGTTGTTTTCATATCATGTTTTTGTCGTTTTTATATCATGCCTCTGTTGTTGTTATATCCTTTTGTTACTGTTTATTTATTAATAAATTTATATATTATTTTCATACATTTTACTAATTTCCTTTCATCTCTCACACTTCTATTATAGAGAAAGGGCAAATAGCAGTATTAAAATATCTCTGCTAATTAATTCCCTTTTTAAAAAATATATTTTATTGATTTTTTACAGAGAGGAAGGGAGAGGGATAGAGAGTTAGAAACATCGATGAGAGAGAAACATCGATCAGCTGCCTCCTGCACACTCCCCACTGGGGATGTGCCCACAACCAAGGTACATGCCCTTGACCGGAATCGAACCTGGGACCTTGAGTCTGCAGGCCAATGCTCTACCCACTGAGCCAAACTGGTTAGGGCAATTAATTCCCTTTTAATGGGCACGAATTTCATGCACTGGGCTACTAGTCCTATATAATAAAAGGGTAATATGCAAATCGACCGGATGGCAGAATGACCAGTCGCTATGATGTGCACTGACCACCAGGGGGCAGACACTCAATGCAGGAGCTGCCCCCTGGTGGTCAGTGTGCTCCCACAGGGGAGTGCCACTCAGCCAGAAGCCAGGCTCACGGCTCATGGTAGCGGGAACCTCTCCTGCCTCCTCAGCAACGCTAAGGATGTCCAACTGCCGTCAGTCGAACATCCCCTGAGGGCTTCCGGACTGCGAGAGAGTACAGGTTGGGCTGAGGGACCCCCTCCCCACCCCCGAGTGCACGAATCTTGTGCACTGAGCTTCTAGAGTTATATAAAAATACAACCACATATTTTCAGACATGTAAAAGTCATAGGAGCCAGGAGACATAGGTTCTAGCCCAGCCTGAGCACTACACTTTACCATTTGACAAACTTACTTTCCCCACCAGGGCCTCACTTTCTTCTGTTGGTGCATGATTTTATCCACAAGTCAAAGGACATTAGATTAGGAACAATTATTTAAGAGACTATACATTTTTAACTGTTATTATCTTAGAAAAAGGTAGCTATCACTCAGATACATTCACACAGACATCT